AGGAAAAACTGCCCTAACTTTGGTAATCCTGGCCACACCTGGGCACTTCAAAAGGGTACGCTGAGTTAAAGGGCATGCCGCCATAATACACAGACCCTTTCTGGGACCTAAAGGTCATGATGTCATAGAGTGTGTCATTTTTTTTTTAATCTCTGGTTCTCTTCCGAGTTTAAAGGACAGAGTACCAGAGGAAGAAAATTCAAATGGAAAAAAATCAAAGAAGGAGAAAGATAGGTTTAGTGCAAACCCAGTCTCTAAGACATTTCTAAGTTGCTACTTTTCTCCCCTGACCTTCTTAATTCCTGGATTATGCAATATGTAGGAAAAAAGAAAGAATTGCTAAAAATCTTACCTTGTTTTCTGGTCTCCATGATGGTCTGAAAAAAAAATAGTATATGGATCACACATGTGTGTGTTTAAAATGATAGTGGCAGTAATGAAAGTACTAGTGATGGTGATGGTGATGGTGATAGTGATGGTGGTGATGGTAGTAAGGGTGACAGTGGTGGTGACAGTAGTGTGACGGTGGTGGGGGTGGGGGTGGTGATGGTGGTGGTGGTGGTGGTGATGGTGGTGATGGTGATGGTGGTTGTGGTAGTCGTAGTGGTCAGAGTGGTGATGGTGATGGATGTGATGATGATGGTGATGGTGATGGTGGTGGTGATGGTGGTGCTGGTGATGGTGATGGTGGTAGTGGTGGTGGTGATGGTGGTGATGGTGGTGGTAATGGTGATGATGGTAGTGGTGATAGTGGTGATGGTGGATATGATGATGATGGTGATGTTGGTGGTGGTAGTGGTGGTGATGGTGGTTGTGGTGGTGGTGGTGAGAGTGGTGATGGTGATGGTGCTGGATGTGATTATGATGTTGGTGCTGGTGGTGCTGGTGATGGTGGTTATAGTGGTGGTGGTGGTGAGAGTGGTGATGGTGGTGATGGTGATGGTGGTGGTCGTAGTGGTGGTGATGGTGATGGTGATGGTGTTGATGATGGTGGTGGTGATGGTGATGATGGTGGTGATGGTGCTGGATGTGATGATAGTGATGGTGGTGCTGGTGATGGTGGTGGTGGTGGTGGTGGTGATAGGTGTTGATAGGTGGTGAGGGTGGTTACAGTGAATTGCTCAAAAATGAATTAAACACTTTAACTTATGTATTAGAGATGTGAAGTCTACTCTACCTATCTTCTCTTAGTCTTAATTTCCATATCTGCCAAATGTTGATTAATTTGATCACAAGATGTCGTTGTTTGATTAAGACTTGAAAGGTACTTTCAAAAGAAAGGCCAAAAAAAATGGAGTTAAAGCAACTGCTGAAGGGATGTACTTCTTTCTGTGGTTGAGTTTTTATGTTTCATTATTATTTTCATCATAATCATTGTCACTGAAAGTATTTAAAGTATCAATCGTCCTTGAACCTTCTGTATCACCAAGTTCCCAGGACGTAGAACATTCACTTCCCGGGGACTGCTGTGGAGACATGTGACTCCACAGCAGTCTGTTGGGCCAGAGTTCTGCTGCTGCTGGTGCGAGTTACTGTACACACAGAGAAACCCCTTCCCTGCGTGGCTGCGTTTAATGAGTAACAAGGTAGTCATAGGCAGTTTATTAAATACGTCGCTCTCCTCTTTCCAGGCTCACAGAAGGATGGAGTGTCCCCAGTGACTTTGGCATTAGGCATAGTCATGTGACTGTTTCGACCGGTGATATGTGAGAAATGGCAGGTGTCACTTCTGGGCGGAAGCCTTGAGAGCCAGGACAAGCCCCGCCATACTCCCTTCCCACGGTGGTGCGTGTGGGTGCAGGTGTGCAGAGCAGCTAACCATCCTGAGACCCCCACTGTCTAAAGCCGCAGACACCCCTTCTGACCCACGTGGACACACAGTAGAATCAGGAATTAAACAGCTGTTATTTGAAGCCACTGACGTTTTGATGGCCATTTGCTACCCCAGCCTAACCTTCTCGATTCTAATAGATACAGGTGGCAAGTAGCCAAAACCAGGGGTTTAAAGTCTTGAGTCACCACATCAGAAAGAAGGGATCTAGGTCTTTCTGAGAAGAAACAGGAACCACAAGCCTCTCTATTACCTAATCACTGCCTCGGAGACATCAACCATTCCCTAGCAAAGGTCTACTCTCGACAAAAGTACCGGGAAAGAGCTGCGCCACGACCTGCAAGAACTGAGTCACCCATTCGTTCCACACAGACCGCGGGGTCGTTTGAAGCGCTCCTCTAAGTTTTGTTTCAAACAACAAGCCTCTCCCTCCCACTGCCCAGCAGACAGGCCCGGGTTCCTTGTCATCCTCAGAGCTGTTCACTTAAGACTGCACTGTGCCAGGGATCAGCCGCCGTAAGGAGCTCTACTCTTAGGAAAACCGAATCTCACACAGTCAGTACATGATCACATTCCAAGTGAGGTGGTGACTGCGAAGGGACCACCTGCGCCCACCTCCCCTCCCCTCACCTCCCCCACCCCGCCCAAACTGCAGCTCTGCACGAACATCTAACAGGCCAAGCACAGAGGTTCTTTGAGAATTTGGCCCAGTGTGCCTCACAGGCGAGTTGCCGTCTTACAGCGTCTTGCCAACAACAACAAAGAGGAAAGAAAAGGGAAGGTTTTCTTTTCTCGGGACTAGGAACGAAACATAAATTTCCTCTTTCTGAGACTGAAGGGTCCGATTTTCCACACTCGGGATGATCTCTGACTAGCCATCACTTTCCTAATATCCTGTGGCTGTCTAGTGGGCATTGCTTTCCTCCCAAGTCAATCCCATGGTGGCAGTGGCCGGAGAGGAGAGAGGCTCCGCTGCCTGCTGCGGGGCTGGGCCCCCACCGGACCCCAGGTAACTGCGCAGGAAGGAAACGGGCGAGGTCGGTGTGCTTTCCACTGGAAGTGCTGTATCAGTGGCCTGATTTCCAGCACCTCACCTCCACCGCGCCCACTGCGTCTGCTGTGTCGAACCGTGTTAAGTCTCCTGAGGTCTCTATACAGGGAAGTACAGAGGGAATGAACACTTGCTGGAAATATCCCAAGTACAAAATTTACACAAAACCCTTGGAGGTGGGAGCTGTTACCTCCGAGAGAACAGAGAGGTGCAGGGCCATCAACGATCTATCCAGGGTGACGCAAATGGGCACGTGGAGAGCCCGGCCAGAACCCTGCCTGTCCATTGAGTCAACGCACACAGGGCCACCTCTGTCTGAGGGGCCTCCCTGCAACCAGCCCTGTCTGGACCACAAAGGCCGCGTGTGCAGGTGCCGAGCATTTGGCTGATGAGAAGAAGGCACTAAACTGCCCGAGCGAAGCTGCCGGCCGAGCTCTCAGGCTAGAGATCTGAGGTGGAAACACAGACACCAGACAAAAGGATGCAGACAGGCGGCGAGGAGAGAAACACAGGCCTGTGCCCGTTCGGAAGAGAGGGCGACTGTGAGAAGGAAGGCCAACTTGAAATTCAGTGAAAATTTTATGCAAGTTAGCTGTCTGTTAACAAACTGGTTTAAAATGTCCACGAGCTGGGGAAGTCTCTACAGGAAGAAGAGAACCTATTGTAGCCAAAAAGCAAAGAGGCCAGGGAAAGATAAGGGTGATACAGGGAAAGGAGAGTCCACAGTGACAGGGAAATTCATTGATGCAGCAGAGAAAATATCCCAGAGGGAACGGGGGGCCAGAGAGTAAATGTGGAAAGATTTGTGAGAAGAGACGTTAGATCTTAAAAGGGAAAACAAGACAAAGGGGGGGAAATCCAAAGACCAAATTGGGGGTGAAAAAAAAACACTAAGATTAAGCAGTTTGAAATGGTCAAAATTATTTCTGCGAGAAGTAAACACATACTGTCTCCTGAGAAACAGGCTGACACAGGCACCAGAAGCAACAGGGCCACGTCACCCAGGGCCACGTCACCTGGCTCAGCTAAGAATATAACCACAGTGAGAGAAAGAAATGCCTTGCCTTTTAATATTCAAAACATATGCAGGTTTCTAAACATATTTTTGTTGCAAACCTCCAGATTTATAGTTCAGTCTTTTCCCCCAATTACTTTCCTACTTTACATTTCCATAGTCACACATTCATCACAGATAATTACCCAAAAAAAAAAGTTTGCAATCTCTTCCTTCACTTCTTTGCAACTGGCATCACAAGAAG